GCTGATATTTGAGAGCCTCAGTCTGATAAAAGATCAATAAATTCATAACGTATGTCACACATTATGATATTCCCAACTTTTGCTTGAGGGAATTCTCTCTAACTTTTCTCTTTCTAGAGCTCGCCGTGTGAAATTACTTCACTCCCTTATTTCTCCGACTGTTGTCTCTCATCTGTTTGTGTCTATATCACTCTCTGACTCGAGTCGTAATGCTTATCAGAAAGCACAGATTTGATTGGCTGAGAGATGACCCACATGAGATGATTTGAAGCGCATGCAGTTTTTCCGTTAAACCAGTGTCGTAAAAGGCTAGAAAAGCTGCACCAATTTAAATAAAATGTAATAATTCTCAATAATTTATTGGTTTTAAGTCGGGGTTGGGATAGGACGGCATCTGGGTCCGGACCTGGACTGCGATCCACCTATTAGTGACCTCAGTATTAGGAGATGAAATAGGGGGTTGACAGGTAAACAAGGGGGGTGCATTTTAGTCATTTTGCTTCAACCCCCCCCCATCCCCTCATATCGACAATTTGTCATTTTATAGGAGGTTATGTGTCTGTTTATAGAAAAACCGCCCCACCCCAAAAAGAATTGCTGAGTGTAGACATTACTCTCACAGTCACACAGAAAGACAGACAGCTTCTGTGTGTCAGCAGGAAAATTACAGTAAAGTTAATCTTGTCAAACACAAAGTCTCAGTGTCCTTTATGTGAAGGTGATGGTTGGTCTTTCTATAGAAACTGAGACACACCTTTACTCTCTACATGCTCCGTCCCTCTCAGCTTTAAACTTCAGTTTGTAACCTAAAAAAAACCTTAAGAGTAGCTACGAATGAGGGTGTCCTAACTTAAACCACCTGCCTACCAAGGTGTGTGTTTCTGTGTGTTTGTCTCGTGTTTCATCTTCCATTAGTTGAGTGGAGTAGCTTTTGAATGTTTGATGAGTCAGCATGTTGAGAAGGAAGTGATGTCATAGCTGTCGTCTCATCTTTCGGGACGGGTTAATGTTTTCCACAGCTTCAAGTCTTAAACGTCAACTGTGAGTACTGTTAGTACTCACCATGTTTAACAGTGAGCTTGTACTACAGTATATAATGTAGACCAAACATTCCCAGTCAAGTGTTGGAACCTCTGTGATGTTTATGTTTTCCTGCTGATGACACACTAAATACAAACAGTTTGCCCAGGTTGGTCTGCTTTAGCTCTGCCATGCTAGCCAAGCTGCGATTTTGGGGATAGCTGTCACCAAAGTCAATAGGATTTGTCATCTAGGAACCGTGAATGTTCGAGGAAAATGTCATGGCAATGCTGAGATATTTCAGTCTGGAGCAAAGTGGTGGACAGACAGACTCGCCATTACCATGCCTTGAGCCATGGCGCTAAAATGGCTTAAAAAACATGTTGAGTAATACTGAATTGGTCGAGAAGTTTAGGCTGATTGTGGCTTAGTGTCGGCACACTCGGCTGTTTACCCTCCGAATATGAGCCGTCTGTGGCCCAGATGTTGCTGCCAGATTTGGATAGATTTTAGGGGGTGTTGATTTGGTCTGAGAATCAACTCCAGAACTCGGACCAGCTTTAGACCAGCAGAGAAATACAACCTGATCTAAATAATCCATACATCTACTACACATGCTGAAGATGATTGCGGTCATCGGGGGCTGGAGTCTATCCCAGCATGCATTTGGTCAGAGATGGAGATTCTGAACCGTTTCCTTACAATATCCATGAAATTCAACACAATGATGCCGTCTAGTGCGTCCATGGAGAGGCTCTTTAGCCCTGGTAGTGCTGACTCAGAGGAGGAACAGATTGTCTGACAAATGACTTGAGACACTCCTCCTCATGAGTCGCTGCTTTACTGATAAACACGTCAAATAAACTGGACTAATATAATGCCATAGTTTGGTCAACGAGCGACTACAGCGAGTTTGTTTGAGTGTGTTTGGCCCGTTAAATGTAGATCATATTGCGTGATCTCAGGCGATGTGACGGAGTAACTCAAAAGTGATGTAACAAATTATATATATATATATATATATATATATATAATATATATATATATATAATTATTAAAACCCCACACAATTGGGACCCCCGGGGGGCAAAGTCAGACGACTGTCAGTAGACGTTCAGAAGAGTGCGAGTGGTAATCTCTATTATTAGACCACAGATTATACTAACTGAGCTACAACACACACACACACACAGACATAAACACACACACACACAGACACAGACACACACACACACACACACACACACACACACACACACACACACACACACACACACACACACACACACACACAAATGTATCTGTGGGTTATAATCTCAATCCCACAATCCCCTTCTGGGTCAACCAATCATGTCCCACCAAGGCCTGCAAAGCCTGCTGGGTAACCTACATGTGTGTGTTTGTGTGTGTGTGTGTTAATCCCTGACAGTTTGTAATAGAGGAACATCTGGTTTATCTCTGTGAGTCTGAAGCTTCCTGTTCAGGCAGGAAACAGAATCAGTTGCATACGTTCACTTTAATTCCAAATGAATTTACTTTTTTTTAGTACCATTTCAGTAATTACTGAACATTTCAATTAGTACACACTTAATTACTTTGACATTTTGGTTGTTGGCTTTTTCCCTGTCCCATGATATGCTATATCAGCCCTCCATCAAGATGCTAAATAAAGCTACAGTCAGGAGACATTTAGTTTATCTTAGCATGAAGACTGAAAGAAGGGGGAAACAGCTAGCCTTGCTCTGTCCAAAGGTAACAAAATGCATCTACTAGTATCTCTAAAGCTCACTAATTAACACTTCATATCTCATTTGTGTAATCTGTACAAAAAAACAAAGTATTAAAATACGAAATGGTTGGTTGTTTTTAAGAGGGGTTTATCTGCTGGACTATTTCTCGGCCTACTGGAGTGTTGTCACTACAATGTAATCTAACTCAAATAAGAGCATTTCACAAAACGTCAAACAATTCCTTTAAGTGCACATTTAATCACGTGAATGATGAGGGGCAACAATCAATGGGAAGTAAGGTCAGCGGCAGACCACAACAACAGACCACAACAACAATGGAGGAAAATTTTTTCAAGCAGTATTTACACACTCACTGCAACCCTGAACTTTTCCTGACGTTACCCGGACAAGCTCTATGTGTGAATGAAAATGTCCAAATCAGCTGGACGGACATTAAACAGATTTTACTACCAGATAGTACAAAGTCTGTGCAATGTCCGATTGATCCCATGTGTGAATAGAGCAGGTCATTCCCCCGAGAATCAGGTCTGAACCTTGTACATAGTTCAGCACTGCTGCTGCTTTTTCTACTATTTTCTCAGCATTAACAATTTGCAATATGCAACATCTACATATAGACATTAAAAGCATATCAGGAGCCTCAGAAAGGAGTCTTACTTCCTTCATTAATGCTGATACGTTTGTTAAGGAGTCAAATGATTTCTATCTACTCTGAAACACCAAAGCAACAGAAACACAGTTATATCTCCTCTTTGTCATTACGTTCAGTGGCAGTTGTCAGACAGTGAGGTGGTTCATTAGCTCAGTGCTGTGTCAGGTGACCGAGCCCCTCAGGTCTGCACCTCTGTTAGCAGTACCAGTTGGTGCTAACGGTTCAGTCTTGGATTTGAGTGTGAAAGCTGAGTTTCACCTTGAACAGTAAGTGTCAGGTCCTGATGGAGCAGAACAGCTATTTAAAGACAGAACAGAAGTCACACTGTCCTGAAGTGAAGGTTGGACAGACAGAACAACCTCGCTGTACCTCCTACTAATGTGTGTGTGTGTGTGTGTGTGTGTGTAATCCCTGCTGCAGTATGTAAACTATACAACATGATGTCAGTTGTACACATGAGAGGATTAGAATCACACAAACACACTCTACATCGCTTTCTGAGTATGATCCAAATTAAGTCCCTGATTCTATCAGACTGTTTCTGTTCACAGTGAGATCAACATTCGTTAATAATAATCAATCACATTCAATGAGTGATTACTGTAACGATCTAATGCGACCTTATCTATTTAAAAACCTGTCAAACATGTAGAAAATGAATGTTTTCTTGTTTTGTAACATTTTTCATGAATGATCACTGTCAGTGCTAAACTCTGTGTCAAATACACTGCATTCCCTGTGACTACTTCACATTAAAAACCACCCCGTGTTTCCCCATGTGAAGCTACAGCAGTAGTAAATGATGTGTTAGCATTAGCAATAACTCATACACCTCTGATATAGCAGTATTATTAACAGTGAAGCTGATATCAATTAGATCAAATTATAATACTGGATTTAGATTGCTGGACCAATATACCGGCCAGTATCAGTTTATTGCTGATCTAACCTTATCTTTGTGTATATCAGCCGATAACTAGCAAGAACCTCCAGTACTGAAATGCCAAACTAGATTTAAGATTATTTAGAAACAGTGTCTCCATTACAGAGTTTGTCCAGTTTATTTTTCAGCTGTGAATGGCCTGCTCTGTATGCACCTTGGTCACAATTACAAATACAAAAGAGATCTTTATCAAGATTGTTAATGTTATGTGTTTATATTATTAATGTGTCCATATCCTCATCATCATCATATCATATCTCATATATTGATATCGGCTTCAAAAATCTAGCATCAGCCGGGTTACAGTAGGAAATTCTCATCTGTATGAAGGCAATTTGTATCCAGGGCAGGAATGGCGGACTCCACCACTAACAATGAAAACTACTAGGCAGTTACCGAATGTAAATACACTGAATAGCTATTGTTTAAAAAAGGCATACCATCAATCAGAAGAGGTTTGATTTCATGAAAATCTTAAGGATTATAACTTCAAACCTGCAGAGACAGAGTATTAAATCCACACACACTGCTGACAAAGGGCGAGATGAACCAGCTCTGTTTGACAAAGAAGATTTAAGGTTGAACAGTTCTTTTTGTTTGTTTTACTTTTTCTTTTCTTTTTCTTTTTTCTTAGTGTTGGACAGACACCCTTTAGAAACCACCTGGACAGAAAAGTGAGGATGTGGACGGAGAACAGAGAGACCGCAGGTCACCTTTAATATAACTGTGTATGTTTGTGTGTGTGTGTGTGTGTGTGTGTGTGTGTGTGTGTGTGTGTGTGTGTGTGTGTGTCATAGTTTCCCAGTGGTCCGACCAAGGTGACATCACCAGTTTTGGTGTTACTACACACTTCCATGACAACCAGAAAACAGACAGACAGAAGGCTGGACTGTCTTCAGTCCTGTCTTTCCACCTGTCTGACTCTGGTGCTTTCCATTTAGCTAATGTGGCACCTTGATTCCCTCATTTGCATGCTCTCCTCGTGTCTTAGCTCCTCCTAGTGAGGATGCCAGAGAGGGAATATGAGGATGGTAGTTTCCAAATGGGACATCCTCGCTCACCTCAGTATGATTTTGAGGAGACTGCAAACATCCATGACAGACACCATCTTAACTGCCCTACAATGCGTAGAAGTAATTATCATATCAATAACATTTTGAAGCCTGATGACTCCAATACTGATTATAGATCTGCAGCTGTGTCATTGAATGTGACTGATAGAAATAACACCAACAGATAATTAAAATTTGTTGATTAATGAAAGAACTGAATAGATGTGAGGGAACAACAGTTATCAATACTCTTAATAAAATCTGTATTTTGTGTATGAAAGGCTGCAGGTACAGTAAGTCTGGTACTTTTCACACTAGGCTGATATTATTGGACTAATAATAACCACGACTGTGTGTTTTAGTACAAATATTTGGATGGGAAGCCTCCCTTTCCTGAACCAGCCAAGATGCACTTGGCACAGAAAAGAAGATGAAAATTGGCCAGTGAAGAAAAAGTACACAAAGAGTGTTTTTATGATTCATTCATTATTGGTGTTGTCCAAGTTGATGTTTCCACAGATAGTCTGTCCAGCCTTCAGTAATGCAATGATGCAATAACATTAGTGCTGTTTCCATAGCAGCCCAGCCACTCCTTTTGGTGTCTTGTCAGACCAGCTGACCAATCCCTGACCAGAAACTGATTGTCATCTGATCATACTCAAACTTTTTTTCATTAAGATGTTATGCATTTGCTGGTGTGTTCTATAAACTATGACAGTTTTCCAAAAATTTGACTAGAAGAATCGCAACATATTGCCTTGCTTACAGTATCACAGTATATTGCAATACATTGAATCGTAACCCCTGTATTGTGATACGTATTGTATTGGGAGATTCTTGCCAATACGCAGCCCTAATGTTTAAGGCTTAAGGTCTGGGTTACTGGCTTGAGGAGGGAGGAAGCACAATTAGGTGAATGCAAAGCAATGTGTCCCCAGAGTGTCTTCGGGTTACGGCCTCCTGCAGGTTTTCAGGTTCACTGCAGTCTGAACGTTAATGAACGTGATCTGGTGTCCTGGGAAGCTTGTATGGCTTTATTTCTGATACTCTTTAGGACACAATTTACTAGGAAGGGAAAAGTAAAACTAAAAATGTATATTTGGCTTTTCGTTCTTGAGGGCATGGACAAGCCTAAACCTAAATTTAAAGGACTTTTTGAGCATTACAAAACATGCTGAAGAAACAAGATACAAACAAAACCAACCACAGAAACACAGAAAATAAATCAATCAGTCAACCAATCAGAAGATACAACCAGGTACATAAAAACACTGCGGTCATTGAGTTAAATTCATAGGTCTTATTGGCATGACATTTGACATGTTTTAAAGCACAGTTATGATCAAGAAAGAAAAAATTATGAAAACAATGTGAATAGAAATAGTTAATAAAATAGATCATGAAATAGCTAAATGTAATGTAGTTTTAGCAATATGTATATACATACAGTAGCCTATATAAGTAATCAAATTATTTAATCAAATCAAGTTAGTATTAGTAACGTGATGTGACCACAGAATAAATACCAAACAAACATATGTGGCAGTAAGTACAATATAATATAATGTATATTTATAAATGTCTGTTGGTATATCTATGTCTGGCTGTCTGTTTGTTGTGGCATGAAGTGACATATTTGACAGCCAAATACCACGACTACCAGTCACTGGTGCTGGCAAAGTAGACAACCATGAATGTATTAAGAAGATTTACTCTAAGAAAGTGGCTCATTGGGCGCGTACGCTCAAAAGGTTTTCCAGGCATCCCTGGGCTTCTATGTTTTTGGGCTCATACAGCCTGCACATTAGAGACTTCCTGCTGATCACCGCACACATGAATGGTATTAAATAATTTACTAATACTGTAATACAGCTGTTTTGGCTGAATGGCTCAAATTCTTATAATGTAAAAAGTCATTTCAGGATGTTTGTTATGTTTTACAGACGCTTCTTTTCCAGTGATTATCTGTGAGAAAAATGCTTTTTGCAAAACATGATTATCCTGGAAAAACTGGCAAAAGCAGTTCAGACACTATGCCAGCACCATTCCTTGGAGTATGTCCCCTGTTTTTGCAGTGAATTTTGTTATGCTTCACATATGTTGTCACATTGATGAAGATGTTTTCTTCTTTTGATTGTGTTTTGCTTCAGTATCAGGGATGCCATAGATACTAGTCATCCAAACATCACAAATGAGGCAGACAAACAATATATTAATACATATCTATAAAATGTACCATTGATAAAACTATACAGAATGTGGATGTTTTCATCTAGTTGCATGCATCTTAGACCCAGCTAACTATGGCTTTCTCTGAGATATGCTTACATGTACATTTATGTTAGAATCATTTAAAAACCTTGGAGCAGCTTTGTTTTGAAAATGGAACTTATGTAAAAGTTTTTGCCCTGAATTCAGCCTGTCAACCAGTTCTTCCTCCCAACAAGCTACATAAATCCAGTCTTAAGTTTGTGGTTTCAGGTCAGAGCTGCTCCAGTTTAGGTTAGATATAAAATGGTTTGCTCAGATTTGAACTTGTGGAGCCTGTTGGAGGTCACACACAGCCTGGGAGGAAGCTCTGCCTGAGTGGATGTCTTCAGAAGGAAACAAAGCACGGTCAGATAGTAATGTATTTGTTGGGGAAATGGTTTGTTAAAATCGGGGTTTAATTTTATTTGACCTGGATTTCTGTGTAAGAAAAATGGAAATGATTGGTCGGATTTTGAATATTTATTTATATATTTAATATATATATTTATAAGCTGTTTTTGAGGCAGTGGTTTGAGTTTTCACCAGTTTCTTCTGATCGTAGGATCTCAAAGTCCTGCAGGGGCGAACATACAAACATCAAACTGTATCTAGTAGTTCATTTCAGCATCTCTGCTGCTGCTGGCCACTGCTCTGTTTACTCTCTGTGTGTTTGTGTGTGTGTGTGTGTGTGTGTGTGTGTGTGTGTTTCTTTGGCCACTGTCATTACCAGCTACTGGCCTCAGGGTGTGAGACATCCACTCTAAGACCTCTCTCTCTGTCTTTTCACATCTCCATTAGTTTCTTTGTCCTGTCGTCCCCTCAGGTCACTGTGTATGTGTGCGTGTGTGTTGTATAGTCTCTCTCAGAGAACAGGAACATACATTAGTGCCCCACTCAATATCTTCTTGTTTTTATCTTTTACACCAGCAGGATTTAGAGCCTTTCGACCAATTAGATGAACCCCTCATTTACCACCTGCCACAAAAACAGTGGGCAAGCAACAAAATATCTGACGGTAAATCCAGGTCTAGTGATTTCCCATGTCAGATATGGTAAAATGTGTCTATGGGTTGGAAACATTCTTCAGACCTGAACAATGGCTTATAAAAGCTTTCATACCCCACTGAACAATAACACACACTGCAATTGTGCCCGTTAGTTCTCGTAAAGCTGACATACATTTTGGCCATAAAAGGCGACAACAGCAAAATATTATTAATGTCAGTGCATTGTGGTGAGTGGAGCTGCCAGTGGTTCAATTGGATTTCATATTTTTCTATGGTAAAATTGTTTTGCTTCTTCTATCATTTTTCACTTTTGAGGTAGAAATAATAAAAAAAAATTTTTGGGTGAATAGAATTTTTTTTCATATTTGGTCTTGTCTGTGCATCCACCAGCAGGTGTGACATGGATGCATCTTATCTCCATATACATTTTATATATTATATTATATTATATTAGCCTACATTAGCCTTACAGAACATTCAATAGTTTGACATTAGGCACTCTTGTGGTTGAGCAGGAACCAAACGCCTCTGGATTTATTTGTCACAGAGGTCTATTGTTGTAGCATGACTACCTCCAGGCACAGTCTGAGATTCACACTCTGAGAGAGATGATGGACTATATATATAAAATCTTTATGAAATCAGGTAATCTCATTGAGGTGAATATCTCTTTTGTACAGCAGAGTGAAAGAAAAACAAAGAAAGCCCGACAAAACCAAACCACATAACATACAAAGAACACAGAGAGACATAAGGAAAGCACATACAGGATTAGAGATCATCACAGATATCACTTAATACAATCAGTTTTACAGTTTTAAAATCTTCTGAAGTCTGCAATCTTCTGTACACATTTGTTTTGTCAGCATTCAGTACAAGTTTCAGATTATGCAGAGATGTATGAAAACAAATTGTAATCTTGACATAATATTATTTCTGAAGAGTGTAAAAAGTAAAGGAACCACCACAGAACCTTGTGGTACCCCGTTATTTATGCCAAGGGAGGTTGGGTGAGACCATCAGTACAGATCCCCTGAGTTCTATAGCATGACAAATATGCATGAAAACAGTAAAACTTAGCAAAAATATCCAAACTGAGACAGCATAGTTTAAGTAAAATGCAGTTGTCAACAGTAGTCTTAGAAAGATGCAGTTCATGCTGTTTCTTGGCCAGTGAATGTCTGACATTATATTTCACCACATATTGACACTGAAGACTTGGAGATGGGACTGAAACTCAGTGTTTCTTTACACTCTGTTGAGTCTCTTTGAAGTCTTAAAAGATGGAAGCATTTTATTCTTCAGGTTGTGTGAAGCACTGACCTGCTTTGCTACAGACACTGAAGAAAATATTTCTGTTTTTTTTCTTCAATCAGGAATCACATTGTTGCCTGAATGTGCGTGTGTGTGTGTGTGTGTGTGTGTGTGTGTGTGTGTGTGTGGGTGTGTGTGTGTGTTTATGTGTGTGTGTGTGTGTGGGGGGGGATTATAACCCACAGCTGGCCTCTCTGATTACTGACTGCCTGGTCAGCCTGGATTAGACTCTCTCTCTCTCTCTCTCTCTCTCTCTCTCTCTCTCACACACACACACACACACACACACACACACACACACACACACACACACACACACACACACGTTACAACAGAAAAGGTAAATACACATATTTCATTTCACTTTGATGCTGAATGCTTAGTTCACTGGCTTGCTTTTTCTTTGTCTGCGTCTTACCATATGTATATCAGAATGTGTGTGAGTGTGTATGTATTTACCTCTGTGTGTGTGTGTGTGTGTGTGTCTGTGTCTGTGTGTGTAATTCCCAGCTCAATAGAGCAGATATATTTAATCCTTCCTTCGCTAAAGCTGATGTCAGCATCAGCTGGCTCTGTGCGTGTGCATGTGTGTGTGCATTTTGTAGCTAATTCATCACAGTGGCAGATTAACCAGCTGTCTGCAGAACATAAAGTCGACTTCTAACAACCAGCTGGGAGAGAGAGAGAGAGAGAGAAAGAGAAAGAGAGAGAAAGAGAGAAAGAGGTGTGAAAACAGTGGAATCTCCTGAATAACTGAACCAGGTTTATCTTATAACCATCAGCTACAGTTTCACCTTCCTCCCTGACAAATCACATTTTCTCCTTATTTTAGTTTGTTTTCTATATTTGGTACTCTCACAAGACAAAAGCATGGGGATCTTTCCCATCTCTACCACCCATCCCATATAATTTCATAACAGCATTTCCTGCAGCTCACCCCTTTTGTATACACACAGGGTTGCTAAAGTTAAAAAACTGATGTAATAAGTCCAAAAATGTAAAACAGGTTATCTGTGCGTAACGTAAATATAAACTGGCTAACAGTACGGTGCAAATTCAAACTATATACACAAAGCCAAATATTGTCAGTGCTTTAAACTTGACACCATTTCCCACAAGCCCAAGACCTCTGCAGGTTAAGTGTCAATTGGAAAAACATCATAATAATGTATCATTGTTTATCTTTGTTAGGATCACAAATGGGTCAAATCCTAATAGCAAGTCATGTATTAGATGGTCTTTTATGTTAGGATATAAAAAGTAAGTGACAGATTGTACTGACTTACAGAAGACAGTGGAACAGCAGCTTAACTAGAGACTTCAGGCCTGCAGTCGTGAAGTGGGAAGAGCCACTCGTTCTGGGTTCCGCCTCATTTTGTATTCCCATTTCAACCTTTTCTTTAAACCAAAATGTTACCAAAACAGAAATATGGCACTCTCCCTGATTATGTATCAAACCGGTTTATGTTCTGAAACTATGTACAGTTTTAATTATTAATTATATAATAATTGTTAATTATTATTCACTTTGTTTCTGATAATTTGGCATACTCTAAATACTACAATACACACATGAGCCTTGTTGCTGTAGAGAAGAAACCAGTCAGAGGTGTGAATCAGAGTGGCAGAATATTAAAAACGGTTCGTAGCTGCAGCAAAACACGGCACCATAGTTACTGTTCCCTTGCTGTAAAACCAATTGCCCTACAGGGACAAGTTGAAAGTTGAATTCATCCAAAATTGACCCACAATCCAAAAGATTGTAGAAAAAAAATCATTTGAATTTGAATGTTAGCCAATCAGCATAGCTGGTCCAGCTGGTGTGTTGAGGTTGATGCTAGAGAGACTGTGATATGATCTCCAGTGCAGGCCTTATGGCCACCAGCTATATATACCATTCTGTGAAATAGTATTAATTTAGTATTAATAGTATTAATTTATTATGTGCTATTAGCCAAAGGTGCACCATCACAGCTGATGTGATCCAAATTCCCTAAAGATAATTTAAATGCTGTGTATACAGTAGTAACATATGTAGGTCATGGCAACAAAGCTAACTGAATATGAAATGAGTGGGTGTCTGTGTGTGTATGTCCTGTCAGAGGTCATGTGACTTGGCAGAGCTGACAGGAGAACAGATGGACACAGTCATGGACTGACCTACACGGTCACAAACACACACACGCACACACACACACACACACACACACACACACACCCACACACACACACACACACACACACACTTACACACTTACACACACACACACTTACACACACTTACACACACACTTACACACACATATGTCATCCTTCCTCTCTCCTCTTACTCATTATTTCATCACTCTCCCTGTAAGCATTGGGTGCTTCACACTCTGCATCCGGTGTAATTCAGGCCTCACTCCTGTCCGTCCGTCCGTCCGTCCGTCCGTCCGTCCGTCCTCCGTCTGTCTGTCTGTCGAAGTATCTGGTTATAGATGTTTGGTGATATAGTGACTACTCATTGTGCCAAGTCCATTGAAATGTATTGTTTTAACTGCCAAATGTGTCTGTTTTAATGCTGGTGTTACCAGGCCTTTAGTTCACTTGGTCCTCAATGCCACTTTTGAAAATACTGGGTAACACATTACCTTAACTCCCCCTCTATTTGAAATTTATAAGCACTACAATAAACCTTTAATAAATTGTTGTTTTAAATTGTGTTTATTAATGTATTTGGCATCAACCTTGACTCCCCCTGTGGGCACCCATAAGTGAAGGCTGGTGTATGAACACATAATAAATGACAATAATATTATAGTAACACACTGTTTGAAAGTTATAATTATTGACACATACTGTACATTAATAATAATGTCCTTATTTAACTACATTGTTATAGACAATTTATTGCTTTTAAATTACACTTATAAATGGATATCAGTAATGTCCGACATCATGTCTTATTTTTCTTATTACTTCTACCACAGGGATGAAGACACCTCTGAGCCCTTCTCAGCTCCTGGAGAGTGGGCAGATCTTTGCCTTTGGAGGGATGTGTCAAGAGCTGATGGACAGGCCCACACCTACAACCATCAGTCTCTCTGTCCAGCAGACTCCCTCTCCAGGTGACTGACACATTCCAGCATCAATGCTGTATAGTCTCCTTTCAGTCCAACCCATCATTGTAGTTTTCTCCAGAAGTCTGACTCATCCCTGTTGTTTTCTTTCAGGTCAGGGCGGGGCCTACTCGCTGTGTGAGGTGTGTAACCTGCAGCTAACCTCTGCTGGCCAGGCACAGCTGCATTACAATGGCAGGTCTCACCTCCGGAGAGTGAGACAGCTCCAGGCTGGAGAGACAGGACAACAGGCAGCAGGTACATTACGGCCACTACTGTCATGTGATTGTAGTAGCAGTAGTACCTGCATGAGTAGTTTTTAACAGTCATCTTATGAGGCAATAATAAAATAGTATTAAAATCAAAGAAAAAAAATAATTTTTCTCATAAAATAAAATAACTAAATAAGGAATAGTAGGTTGTGTGTACAAGAAGAGTATAACTTAATTAGCTTGTCAATTAACTTAGTAGTAGTAGTAGCTATTGCCAAATTCAAGAACCAAACCCGACCCAAGACCTAAAGCTATACTGTATCTATCTATTTATTTTTGTTTTATTTCAACCAATTACTGATAGTTAGCTTGCCTGGCTAACGTAACACATGAGCTCGGCTCCACCTCACTCCGTCTTCCCACTGGGCAATGACTTTCTTCTTGCAACAAATGACGCACACAGATACAGACAAATGGCACAGTGAGCGTGAAAGAGAAAACTTAATTAATAAATTACATTTGAAAATAACCAAATCTGTATCTGAGCTGAGCCTGAAGCTTTATCTTTGTCTTTATCACACAATACTTTGTCATGTTGCGTAGCAAAACTCTAAGCAGTAGTAGTTTGAGTAGTTGCACTTGCAGCTAGTAGTAGTAATAGTAGTAGCGATAGCTGCAGCATTAGCATCAGGACTAGCATTAGCAGGAGCTGTTGTAGTAGTTTATTATTATTCTCCACTCCTTCTAATGGGTCTTGATGTCTTTGATTCTCACAGGGGCTCAGTCTAGGTCTCTTCCCCAGGTCACAGGGCTCAGCTCCCAGCCTGCAGGACTAACTCCGACCCCAGGCCCCAGTCCAGGCCTCAGCGCTCCACCCAGCACAACTGCAGGTAGGACGAGTGCTTTTACTGCTCCTATTACTCCTGGTCCACTGTGCAAACAATGACTCATCAAATATTTTGTGTTGTCTAATGTTAAAAGTTGCATTTGAACAGACCACAAAGACAACAGCTGGCATGCACGTACAATTCTGTACCTGGAAATAACTAGTCGTTAGTCTCCTAATCCAAACAGCATCACAGAAAATATTCAAGTTGTCACGGTAACCAGAGGGACATTAAGAGCTAAACAGGACATTAATTTGTAAAGTCTGATGGTCTGTCTGCTGAGGGAAAGTGACTTTGGCTCATCCATCATCAACAGCTGCTGCCCCCTGGGAGAGGTCAGTTAGTGTGTGTGTGTGTGTGTGTGTGTGTGTGTGTGTGTGTGTGTGTGTGTGTATGCATGTGTGTGTGTGTGTGTGTGTGTGTGTGTGTGTGTGTGTGTGTGTGTGTGTGTGTGTGGATAGAGGAAGGCCTCAGGTTGACCCCTAAAAAGATAAACTGAGCCTGCATTACCTCAGATCATCATTGGAGTTTTATACTCAACCTCAGGATGGGTATGGTTAGCTCCGCCCAAACACCTGTCAGTCTTGTTGACGAGCTGACATTTTTATTCATGCTAGCAGCTTTGCTCAAGGGTTGTCTGTCTGTTGGTCAGTTGGTCCACCACTTTGGTCTTGACTAGAATAGCAACAACAACAACTAGATGGATTTTAATGACATTGTGCATAGTCATTCATGGTGCCCACAGCATGTATCCAAATTACTTGTTGATTCAGGCCAACGTTTTTAGGATCCTAAATTTGTTATTCATATATTTATCAGTATACAACACAAAGTTGTACAATGAAATAAAAGTTCACAGTCTCTTCATACTACACACATAGAACAGCAAATATAAATACATTTTGATGAGCAGGTTCTCCAAAAGGCTGTATATACAGTATGCATTGGACTGTATAAACCAGCACCTGCACCTTGAGTTTGAAACTCTTCCTTCAGGCTGTAGATTTACAGTACCATGATTCAAGTGCAATAAAAGTAAAAATCTCCTTTGTTCCTTGAGCAGTAACCCTGCATAATTTGCACATGTAATTTTATTTTTTAGCATCTTATTCACACATCAAATTTGTGCATTATTGTTATTGTATTATGGTTTACTGTATATTGTATGAACTGGAATCATTTTTTGTGTTTTGGTACTTTGTTGTTTTTTTACGGGATTTTTGCCCCTGACTGCAAGTCAAGTTTCCCATCTGGGATAATAAAATGACTGAACTGAACTGAGGGTAAACAGCTATTTATATACACATTAAAAGACTTTATAGGTTTATGAAAAAAATAACTGGCACTAGATGATGAGAACATCATTGTATCATTTCAAACATTGTGTTAAATGTTGAATGTGTGTGTGTGTGTGTGTGTGTGTGTGTGTGTGTGTGTGTGTGTGAATATTTACAGACTGACTGTGTGGTTTAATAGTGTAGTAGTTGTTGTAATAGTTGTAGTTTTCATATGATGTATTTATCAGACAAGATTCCCTGCCTTATATCTGAATCTCAGAATGCCTTTATTTTAATGTCATGTTTAATGTTTATTCAAAAGAAAGGAACGGTCTAATTAGACTGTAGGGCTACATTGCTTAAGTGGCAATTAATGATACTTTTGAGATTTCTTACCCCAATATTTTTTTGAATATGTTAAAATCCTAACATTCTATAGTTTGCAAACTCTTATTTGTCATTTAACTAAAACATTTCTACCTAATACATCATGGCTAACACAGTGGCTAAAGTCCACAGGTTATTTGAAATACTCAGATGTTTAAAAAAATGCCTTGTGAGGGATTATTTCTTACTTGGTCTCAGTCACTGCCGGCAGCTAAGAAATAGTCCCGAACACAAACACAGTGAAACCACGGCTTATCATTTTTACACTTCATGTTTTGTACAGATTAAACAAAGATATAACGTGTTTATTAGTAAACTTGTAGCTGGATTTTATTACCTTTGGACTGAGATATTCTTGCTGTTTTCCTTCGCTCCCAATCTTTATGCTAAGCTAAGCTAACTGCTAAACGGACTGCAGGCTGTAGCTTCATCATTAATGCACAGACATGATAGTGGTGTCGATATTCTCTTCTAAACCTTGGCAAGACAGTGAAAGAGCCTATATCACAAGGTATTGAACTATTACATAAGTATTATATAGGATTATTTTCATTATTTTTCATGGTTTAATTATTGAAGCAGTTTCTAAATACTTCCAGTGCCCTCTGCTGTTTAAATTACTGTACACTTTTCACATCTCCTAACCCTCTTTGGTTCTGTGATCAGAAGTGACTGGAACAGTTTCAGAGTGTCTTCAGTGATTCAGACCCAGTTTTTAAAGTCAAACTGCTGGTCAACAGAGTGAGAATGTGCTCGGAGATGTAAAGGAGTAAAAGTGGAGCAGACAGCAGCAGGTCATTAAACTGGGACATAGCACTGCTCTGAAACCACACTGACATTTCTCAAAGACGTCGTTAAAATCTCCTGCATTTGGTGTTTGTCCCCTAATGTCTCCACAGAAATCTGCTGCAATGGGCATCTTCACGTAAATCAACTTATAAAGTTTATTGTCTTTATTTTCTTGCTCAAAAACACAAACTAGAACCTCCTTTGGAAATCTGCTGTTTTAGCCCTGCAAGCATCACTCATTTAATATCGATTAAAATAAAATAAATAAGTTCCAAAATCAACAAAAACAAGGAAAAGGCAGGAAATAAAAAAAACACACACACCTAATTACAGTATGTGGGATGATGCTGGCAGGAGGGTAAGGAAACTGAAAGGCAATCACACACTGACACACACCTATAGATGTGTGTGTGTGTGTGTGTGTGTGTGTGTGTGTGTGTGTGTGTGTGTGTGTGTGTGTGTGTGTGTTGTGTGTGTGTGTGCAGCAGCTGTAATTACATACTGTGTGTCCATATCAGTGTACAGGCTACAATAACACTGATTAAAGATTAAATCTCTCTCTTCTTGACATACAGCCTGAATGGTCATCTCTCTCTCTCTCTCTCTCTCTCTCTCTCTCTCTCTCTCTCTCTCTCTCTCTCTCTCTGTCCATTACGTGATGCTCGCTCGACCATGAAAAGCTCTTTGGCCTGAACTCAGCTCCTCTAGGCCAGGCTAAGTGTGTGTGTGTGTGTGTGTGTGTGTGTGTGTGTGTGTGACAGTGACCTGGCTGGCTAAGCAGCCTATCAGCAGTCAGGTCAGATGACATCACCGCCGATACAAACAGTTGTGCTACATGGGGAGCTCCTCAATCAATGATGTGCACATAAAACTGCTGCACTCAGTTATTTTGAATGGATTATTGTGTATTGTTTAAGCAACAGAGAACACTCAGTTCATTTTCAGGATAAATTTGGGTTAGGGTTTCAAACTCAAATCTTCTTTTCATCTTACATGAACAATGGAGCTTTAAAAACAAAAAATATTATATCACTGGAGATGGAAGAAGTACTCAAGTCCTTTACTGATGTGACAGTATCAATTCCAAAGTGTAAAAATACTCCATTACTTTTACTCCAGTTAACGTCCTGCGTTCAAAGTTTTACTTAAAAGTATGTAAGTATCATCATAAAAATTTACTTAAAACATCCAAATTGAAAGTACTCAGCAGGTGGAGTAATGGGTCCTGTCAGTGTTATATTACAATATATTGGGTTATTGATACTGATGCATTAATGTGTATGCAGAATTTTAATGTAATAGTTGGTGAAGGTGGAGCTCATTTTAACTGTAAAGCAGTAACTACAGCTGTCAAATGAATGTGATAAAATGTAAAATGTAGCAGTAAAAAGTACAATATTTCCCTCTGAAATGTTTTGGAGTTCTTCTGCCCACACTATGTGTGTAGATGCACAGCTACAGTATGTGGAAAACTAAACACGCCTCCAATAAAGCCTGTAGACAACGAGTGGGTTTGAAGTGCGGGGCAGTGAGGATGCAGCCATTTCATACATGAGACAAGTGTATGTGGATACCGATGTGCATTCAGTCAGCGTTGGACCTGTTCATATGAGTGTGTTTTCCACTGTGAGCAGAGACTCCAGTCTGCAGTGTTGTTCACCCACTTCACTGATAGCCCTGAGAATAATACAGAGTTGCATTAGGCTTCATGATCAAAGAAAGATTTTGTGTCAAGTCTCCACTTTCCATAATCGCTCCCTCTCTGTCCATTGTGCACGTAAATGACGTCTTGAGTCTTGCCTATCTTGTTACTGCAACATGTTCTCACTCCCAGCTCGGTCAGTGGCCCTGCGCGTCAACATGCTGTGGGTACCCCTCTCGCATGAGGGAGGGGCCAGAGAAGTAAACTTTCAAATTTTGTTCATTTGAGCAGATACAGCAGTTTTTACACACAATATGAATGTTTTGGAAAAATAAACTGTATTAATATTTTATGTCAACATGAATTTAGGCAATTTAGTGTTTAATTCCTCTTTAAACTGTAACTGCTATTGAACTGTGTCAGTAGACGTTTCCACTAGTAACACAATGTTTAACTGGAACCAACTGCTGGTGACACATAGGAGTAGACATATAAAGTAGCATGAAAGGGAAAAACTCAAGTGAAACACAAGTACCTCCAACTGTATTTAAATACAGTGCACACAGTAAACATACATTGTTCATTTCCACCAATGCCAGACACATACATAATGTACAAATGTGAAAACACACATTATACTGGGGACGTGCCATAGGGGATGCTTTCTCTCACTGAATACACTCATACTGTATAATTGTATTTGTTTGTCAATTAGTGACCACTAGGAGGCAGCACTCATACACACACTCTTAACACACACTCACTGACACACTCAGTCACTAATAAAAGAATTGAATTCCCATGATCCACATAATGAGTATAAATAAAGAGATTAACTCACATGAGACTAATAACATTTACAATATTAAAACTCCTCAACTCTCCTATGGGAGAGAGTGGTTGCTGGG